GGTGTCATGGTGCCCCTGGAGATCGTCCTCCTGAAGAAGGTGGGCTCCGGCTTCAGAGGGGTCATCAAGCTGCTGGACTGGTACGAGCGGCCCGACGGCTATCTGATCATCATGGAGCGGCCCGAGCTGGTGAAGGACCTTTTCGACTTCATCACGGAGAAGGGGGCCCTGGACGAGGAGACGGCCCGCGGGTTTTTCCGGCAGGTGCTGGAAGCGGTGCGCCACTGCTACGGCTGCGGCGTGGTGCACCGGGACATCAAGGACGAGAACCTGCTGGTTGACCTCAGGACAGGCGAGCTGAAGCTGATTGACTTCGGCTCAGGGGCCCTCCTCAAGGACACGGTCTATACCGATTTCGACGGTACGTGACCTCCCTGCACGCCGGGCAGCCTGGATGCGCCGTTTTTGGCCAGACCCCTGCACCCCTCTCGGGGCGATGCCCTCCTTATAGCTGCCTCCTAGCCCGTTTTTGGCGCCCAGCAGTCGCAAACGTTGCCCCTCACACGAGAGAGGGTTCATATCAGGTCTATTGGTAATGGAAACCTTTGGACCCAAACCAGTTTAGGGGTGTTCAGTTGCATAGGAAAGAAGCGATTCCAGGCAGTGACGCAGCAGTTTATGTTTCCCTGTCTTGGAAAAAGTGTGGTGTGTGGTTGGCTTTTTTTTTTTTCCTAGAGGGCGATCTGTTTACATGGAGGCTTCACCAGTATCGGATGTTTCCATGTGTGGATATGCATTTTTTGTATGCGGTGCTTTTTTTAACTTGAAGCAGTAGCTCCCCCACCCCTCCCTTTCCGCCAATGTCCTGGAAATCCCGCATTGCAGATTTTAAAGCGATGGGGACGAATACGCTCCCTCAAAATGACTTGATGCTAGCCTTTGGGGCCGGGCTTGACGCTTTAAAGAAGGGAAAGCTCAAAATAAGTCTCCGTATGACAGGAAGGGAATATTTTCCCCCTACCCTTTGAGTGTGGCTGATGTAATGGGGGACACTTTTATTATTTATTTTTTTTTAATTCCCCCCCCGCCTCCCCCCAGCTGCTGCACTCACATCTGTTTGTTGTGAAACCCGAAGCCCTGCCGCACGTGACCCTCGGCATCACGAATTCCCGGTTTTGTTTGGTATCCAAGGAGCCCGCGGGCACCTGCGGGAGGAGGGGGGGGGGGGTGGGGAAAAAGCTGCCGCAGAGAAGCCCGGAGGTGGGGGGGAGCCTTAAAAACGTAGAAATCGTAAGCGGCCCTATTTTGTTTACTGCCTTGTGGAATTGGATAAAGCAGATTAGCCCCGTGTAATACGGGGAGACCTGAGTTTCACCTTCTTGCCGCCCTCTCTTCTCCTCCCCGCCAGCCCCCTTTGTCCTTTTGTGTCTATTTTTGGTGTGATGCTGCAGACGCCACGTGGTCAGTGAAAGGGAGCTTGCCTCAGTAAACAGTCAGCTGATGGGGCTGTGTTATTCCTTGCAACAAAATAGCACGACCGGATGGGCCAAGTCTGTTGATGGTGTAATCCTGCAGATGACCTGAAATTACACCACTAATGGCTTTGGTCCATACGTTTTGTTTTTGTTTTTTTTTTTTTAGTGAAAAGTTTATGAATTTCATTTAGCCCTACTAGAAGGAAGTGAACAATAAAGAAACACTGTAAAGCTTGACTTTAATTTTTATTTTATTCTTTTTGCTTTTAGGAACGAGAGTATACAGCCCTCCAGAGTGGATCAGATACCACAGATACCATGGGAGGTCAGCAACAGTATGGTCTCTGGGAGTTCTGCTGTATGATATGGTTTGCGGAGATATCCCTTTTGAGCAAGATGAGGAAATCTTGAGGGGACGACTATACTTCAGGAGAAGAATTTCACCTGGTGAGTTCTATAGGGATCAAGTGGGGGCTGCTTTTACTTTTGTATTTAATTATTTTTTTTCTTATTTAAATAATCCTGTGCATTTGAGCTTGTACAGGTGGATTTTTATTTTTTTTTCAGAATTTTCTTTTTCCTTTCCTAGACTAAAATTGCTTTCTTGTTGTTGTTTGTTACAGAATGTCAACAGCTGATCAAATGGTGCCTTTCACTGAGGCCTTCAGACAGACCAACACTTGAGCAAATTTTTGACCATCAATGGATGCACAAATCCGAAGTAGTGAAGTCTGAGGACTGTGACATAAGGCTACGGACTCTTGATACTGATGTATCTAGCACAAGTTCAAGTAATGAGAGTCTGTGATTTACTAAGGACCTCGCACTGGGAGGGGAGCTACAAGCAGAAAGACCACAGTGCTGCTGCCAATACGTAGGAGGGGCTAGAAAAATACATTCATTATTCTGTAGTTGAATCTTTGTCTGCGGGACTTGATTTTATTTTCCCCCTTTACTGGTTTCTGCTTTGGAATGAGAGATTTCCTTTGGAAACGCTGATGTTTGGGAGTTGCAGGCCAGTACTTAGTCAAAGACTGACCTTATTAAGAAAGCAGTGACCTCTTGAATACATGGTAAACTTTTTTGCTCTCATAGAGCCTGGACTAGATTTTATTTGCTTTTGAGTGCCTTTTTGAAAGCTGCTTCAGTGGGACTTTCTTTTTTGAGCTGTGTATGTCCAAAGAAGATCCAGTTCATTATAGGAATTTGCTCCCTTTAGACTCAGTGCTGGAGGAAGCAGCTCCTATGATGCATTGGAGAACATGTTCGGTGATTGAATGAAGTAGTCCCATCCACTGGTGATGGAATACTTGAACACAGACATTTCACTCCTGCGCCCCGCCCTGGCCCTTTCCAAATCCAACCCACCTCTGCTGCTCAAAATATTTCCTATAGCCTGCACAGAAATATGAACAGGTATATCAGCTTTTTTATCAGAAACATTTATTCATGTTTCCTTTTATCATCTCTACCATTGGGCATGAGAAGCCCCTTTCTCAACTCCCCCCGGCCTTTTGTCACCCTGCGAGTCTTAAAGTATGTATGGGCATGTTGAATGCACAATCAATGCAATATTCAAGGACTTTAGTTCTGGGTTTTTTTCCCATACCTGTATAATATGTTTATGTAAACTTGGTTTTTCCCATGTACTATACAGTTATTTATTGTTTGAAGTTTAGAAGACCTCCCACAGGTTTCAGCTGTGGCTATTTATTTGGTTAATTTATTTGGTTAGAGTTATTCAACACTGTGCTTTCTCCTCCTTCTCCCCATGGGAATTCTAGTGGTTTGCCCATGGCACTTTTTTTCTGCATTCCTGTCAACTTTTGTTTAAAAAAAAAAAGACAAAAAAAAATTTCTGACCTTATGAATTTTTTTTGGAAGATGGAAAATTGTTGTACAAAGTCTAATTTAAGGGAAATAGAATGACTTTTTAAAGTTAGTTGGTATGCCTTTTGTCTGGTATTATTATACCAGAAATGTAAAGTAATGCTGTTTGGAAGGGTTTTAAATTATTGACATTGTACAGTCTCCGTGCATTGGCTCTGGAAGGTAGAGTGGCAGAGTCATAAACCTTAATTTATTTTAATAGCTGTGTTTCTGTGATCTGGTTGCATTTATGCAGCTTGGATTTGGATTTTTTTCTTCTGTTTAACAGTGTGAAATGTATGGAGATCATATTTTTTATACAGGTATTTCAATTAAACTTTTTTTGTATATAACAGTTCTGTGTTTGTGTGCTCACTTCTATCATCACTGTAACTCTTGATGCCAGCTGGGGGGAATACGTATTCTGTTACAAGCTAGAGAAGGTAAAAGTCTGCAGCAGCTGACATGGAGTTAATAAGTCTATACCGTTTAGCAGTGACGATTTTGGAAGAATTAAGCAATCCCTCATCTTGACTGTATCTATTTCTCAATCTCTGCGTTTAATGCTGAGCTGGAGAAGGTGTACAATACAACAGCACTAATGGCCCACATAGAAGGGAATTGGCCAGTAATTACAGAGTTTTCAACTGTAAACACTGAATAGCTGAAATACCACTGTACTCATTGTCCTTAAGTATGACAAGAAAGGATTATTGTAGTCACTGGTGGTAACTGTTTTCACAGTTGACATGTTTACTTTCCATTACATTCAGTTTCCTTCCTCCTGCTTACCCCTTCCTCCCTGGGAGTGGTCAAGAATTTCCTGTGCCCTTACAGGAAAGGGACAGCTTTCTTGGGGAGCAGAGCAACTGTTTTCCTTCAACTCCCTTAGATTATAAAAAAAAAAAAAAGACTGGTGTGGCGCTTCGTAAAGTACCAGGAATCACATGTCACTCTTGTCTGTAGCAAAGGGCAAGAGGAATGTCCTCAGCCTTCATCTTGGCATGTTGGAGGTCAAGTCCTTCAGATTACTGAGTTCATCCTAGTTTCTCTGCAGCTACAGACTGACCTGACTTGGTCTTTTTGCGAGGGTGGTAGTGATTGCTAGGCTTAACTACCACAGAGGGATCTACAAGGTGTATTTAAGAATGTGTCCAGTCGTTAAAGGTGGTCTGTAGTAGTTACAGTAAAAGGCTAGGCTTAGAATCTGATGGTTTTGTATTTCCCTTTCTGGGGACCTTTCTGCCAGCTCATCTATTATTTTGGTTCCCTGTGGGGAATATCTCACTTGCTGACATCACATCAAGCTCCTGATGCTAACTAGTTTAGACTCAAAATGCCACTGAGTAGCAGGAGGTAAAACAGAAGGGGAAGGACCATTTTTGTATATGTGGTTTTCTGATAGCGTGGGGATAAGGTGTGTAGTATTTTCTTGGCCGTAAGAAGGAAGTTCAAATGACTTGTCAGGGGAAAATAAAAACCAAAACCTATGCTTGTGTCCATCAATTTGTCCATTTCCTGTGTTTTCTGGTTTTGTTCCTTTGCCATTTTAGAGTTGTTTCTTCAGTTTTTAATCAAAAGCTGCACATACAATAAACCTAGTCCCTGGGAAACTCACATATGCATGACAGTATCTATTGTCAAAACTCTATTCATAGAAATAAAAGATTTTGCCATTAAGATTACTTAGGAAAATTGCGCAATTGTGTCCTAAGAGAAGAATGTTTAACGATGAAGACTGAGAGTTTTAATTGATTGTCTCTTGCTGTAGAGGAGGAACTCAGATAAGCTACAGGAGAGGTGATCCCAGTGCCTTATGCATTTCTTTAGGGAAGCACGTTTCTAACCTCAAGTGGTCCCTGGAGAAATTCCAGTAGCTGATGATAATTAACATCTTCCACTCCAGTGGCTTCACATGCTCGCAGCTGCTGAGAGGGGTGGCAGCGGGGCTGTACGGGTGAGCTTCAAAGGGCTACCAGAAAAGGGATTCTAAAAATATGTTTGTAAAGCTATTGTTGATTGCTGAACTAGGGACTTTCAACATTTCCAGAGGAGCGTGCGCTACTTTCCTTAGCTTCATAGAGAATTGCTGTTGAAGCGGTCTGTTTTGAAACATAAAAACTAGGTTTTCACCTTTTGCTACTGAGGCAAAATGCATTAAAAGGATAAAGGTCAAAAGGACGCGGGCCCGAGTGCTGACTCCCCTCTGGGATTAGCTCAACATAAAAGGTGCAGTTTCAGTACTGCACAGGCAGCTCTCGTTGTGAAACTCCCCTGTACACTAATAGAAGCCACGTGGCTGAAACACCATATACTGAAAGTAATGATTTGTAAAAATAGCTTTTCATTACTGTTGAAAGTTGGAAAATGATGTGTTAATATAGTTCCATTAGCTGAGTGTTACTGCCAAAATGAGCAAGTCGGTGACAGCTCTTGCTTTCTCCTGCACTCCTATCTGGTATTTTAATATCGTTAAATGTTGCTTCTCTGGGATCCTCCTCCTCATACTCTTTCCACACTAGGTTGGTTTTCAACAGCACAGATCTTGAGAAGTAGAATTAAGCAGATCATTTAAAATACTACTGTTTAAATCACAGCCCATTCTAACCTTGACAAACTGATTTGTCAATGATCACACCTATGCAGCCGTGTGTGCTCCTGGCTTCATAGGAGATATTTCAAATATATTCTAATGCTGAAAGGTCTTTAACGATATAAAATTTTGTGTAATTCATATCCTAACAAAATTAATTCTCTTGTATGCATAAGCATACACTCGCTCCTTTTATTTTCTCCTTTTTTTTACTTTTAGTTAACTAAGCTTACATTTACTGAATGCAGCCAAGCAAAAGCCCATTGAACAAAATTATCAGAAGGATATTAGAAAGATTGATGAGGGCGTGTTCTCCCCAAACGCTTATGGTTCTCTTTCAGTGGTTTACTGACCTCTGTTGGTGAAATTAAAGTATATGTCCTGAAAAAAATGACGCATAAATTGGGAAAACAGATTTTAAGAGACTGCTGACTGATTTTTTTAAATACGGTAGACATGACTAATCCCACAATTTCTGAAAGTCGACCATTACAGAAAGAAAAAAATAAAGAAAAATATAAGATACTGCAAATATGAAAATAGCTTTTCAATAAAAACGGGAGAGGGAAGCATGAATTCAAAAGGCTGTCAACTTTACATCTGAAGTTACAGAGGTAAGCTGCCCGGTGAGCCCCCAATCACTTGCACGACTCTTGGCATGAGCCCTTATGAGCATATTAGCCCTCATTCTTCCACTTCATTTCAGTCATGATGAGAAGCACTTGTCTTCTGGCACACAGATGGACGATACTTCTCAGCGCTGTAGCTAGATAACGTAACAGAACATTGTGGCCCCATGAGCTAATTATTAGTGGATTTTCTCCACTAACAGCGGCGATGCTACTGTTGGAAGCAGCACTCAGGATGTTGGGATTTCAATCTCATTGCAATATACATTTTTTCTGACATTATACTGAAGTTTGCTATGCTCATAAATTGGCAATTGCCTAGTTTCGTCATTATATGTGATTTAAAAATTTAGTATGTTTTTGCCTGAGGGGACCCTTCAGGTAGCTAATATGCCAGAGACATATTAAGTTTTGGTTATATTGCAGAACTGCTGAACAAAGTGATGAATCCACAAACCCATGCAACTAAAATAAATTTAAATCTATATTTAGACTAGACTGCTAATTAATTTCAGGTAACGTTTTTCTCAAAACTAGTGGATTCCTCTGTTTCATTAAAAATGTCGGCATAGAGAAAAACCCATCTTTATTTTTGCTGAAGAGAAGTTACACTAGAGGACTCCAGAACCATAGACTAACTCAAGGTAAAAAGAAGAGAATAACGTAAATCCATGAAATTCTTGCAGAGATTTCCTTAGCTTGCAATCTCACTCCTCCTGCTCCAATAAAGTTAAAAGATATTCAATCTTTTGTTTCATTGCTGCTCATAGTCTTACTATTATCAGTAATACGGCCTGGCACACTCAGATTTTACAGAATGTTACGTAGTTTCCAAATATCTGTTAAAATGTGCATATTTACATCTCAGATGCTAAGATTTCCTTTTTCTTAAAAATTCCATGAAGGAAATTACTTTCCTACAGTAGCATTATGCTTATATAATAATATAAATTCAATATAGGTTTCAGATTAGCTGTGTTTAAGCTCTAATTAATATGGTCTTAGTAAGAATGTTATCTATTATAGCTAATACTCTGCTAATTGACTACACAAACCATTATGTAAAAAGCTGCTTATACTAGTCCAGTAAGAGAATTAGTGAGGCGCATACTTTAACTTGCACTCTTTCTCAGGTAAGTCTGTGTTAAACCTTGAAATTACCATTAAGTCGGAGGCAGTAGAGCATCTTGTGGATCAGTATGCTTCTTTGTTTGCTATTAATGACTCAGCAGTCAC